GTCATCTCTATATACATATATGTATAAAGGTACATATATATTTAATATAAATCTAATTATATATTTATATTTATCTATACATTTAATTAATTAATTAATTAATTAATTAATTTATTTATTTATTTATTTATTGTCTCCTTATTTATTTAATCATAAAGACATTGAGCTTTTTATTAACAAAAACTTCTTTTATGCTCTATGGGCATTTGTCTAATTTATGCATATTAGCATTAATTAATTAATTAATTAATTAATTAATTAATTAATTAATTAATTTAATTAATTAATTAATTAATTTAATTAATTAATTAATTTAATTTAATTAATTAATTTAATTAACTAATTATTCCTCCCTTTTTACTTAGCAACAGCAACAATAGGGGTATATAATATCTAATAAACTATATATATAAATCTACCCCTAATAAATAAATAAATAAATAAATAAATAAATAAATAAATAAATAAATAAATATAAATAAATTAAATAAATAGACAATGCCACATTATTTAGGTGTATATACACCCCAATAAAGTTATAAATTAAAAGAAAGAATAACCGCCATTTAATTAGGGTTTACCCTTAAGGCAACGAAAAAGGCTATCCTCCCTACTATCCTCATTTGGGGCTTTTTTGCATGCATGCATGCAGATGCATGCAGAGATGCTTGCAGATGCATGCAGAGATGCATGCATGCAGATACGCATGCATGCAGATACGCATGCATGCAGATACGCATGCATGCAGATACGCATGCATGCAGATACACATGCATGCAGATACGCATGCATGCAGATACATGCAGATATGCATCCATGCAGATATGCATGCATGCAGATATGCATGCATGCATGCATGCATGCATGGTGTATAAGTTGCTGCATTGTATGTTTGTGTTTATTACCATTGACAGATGCATGCAGTATATGCAGCAGCAGCCCCACACTTATGTATTTATTATTCATTTATTTAATTTAATTTTATTTATTTAATTTTATTTTATTTATTTTATTTATTTTATTTATCTAATTCCCTCTCTAAGGGTATATGGGGCCCCCGCGGTCGCCCCAAACCCTAAACCCTAAACCCTAAACCCTAAACCCTAGCCATTTACATAACAGACCCAGGGGGCCTCATCATAGGTGGCATAGTACCCATAGGTGGTTGCATGCCTGGTGGTGGCATAGCTCCCCTCCCTGCAAGGGGCCCCCCTAGGGGCCCCCCTACCCCCATCATCTGGTGTGGGGCAGGGGCCCCCACACCCCTCACGGGGCCCGCCAGCCCCACAGGGGCAGCAGATAAAGAGGGTACTGCAGGTACACCGCGCCCTGCAGGTATTCCTCTCCCTCCTCCTGCTAGGGAGGCATCGGGCCTCTTGGGTTGCTGCTGAGGGGGGGCCTCCGCTATAAATGTACATATATTCTCTCCTGCATGCATGCACAAATTAATATATATAATAAACCCTAAACCCTAAACCCTAAACCCTAAACACTTATTAAGGTATAAATTTACACATATATTCTCTAATGTATATATAGATATAACATATATATTATAAACCCTAAACCCTAAACCCTAAACCCTAAACCCTAAACCCTAAACCCTAAACCCTAGAGTAAGTATAAAATAAGATAGAAAGAAGATAAAAAGTACGTATAAATGCTTACCTCTAAGAAGAATAAACCCTACAGTCCTTTTTATCTCCTTATCCTCTACTACTACTCCTTTTCCCTCTATTTTATTTTTTATCTTTATTTTACGGTATTCTTCTGTATCCGCCATCACAACATTCATATGACGATCAAAGGCTAAAAATGTACCCACCAACATACGCGAATCCTATAAAAAAAAAAAAAAAAAAAAAAAAAAAAAAAAAAAAAAAAAAAAAAAAAAAAAAAAAAAAAAAAA